CAATCTGATCATGTCATTCTCTTGGCTAAAATCTTAATGGCTCTCTGTAACCTTCAGGATAAAGTTTAAATTCCTTAGCTTGATTACCAGCTAGTTATGAGTTAGCTCCTGCCTTATGTCTGTATTCTCATTTTCCACCCCTTCTCTGCATCTCTCTACGTTATGCACCTTGACTCCACACACATCTAACCATCCAGAGTCATGTGTAGTTTGCATCTGGCAGTTTCTCATCTCTTATTTTTTGCACACGCTGAAGACCAATAACTAAAAGAAGCTGTGTCGTGGTTCAGAGACTGGATCTGACATCTCCCTAATACAAATGCCATTATGACACTCTCCTGGATTCAGAACATGTCAGAAGTGGTGCTCACAAACAAAGTCCTATATCAAAGTGCCCTGCAAGCCAAAATGCAAAAATCTGTGAAGATACATAATGTTAAGAAAGACAGGCAATAGAATTTAATGACCATTAATTCATTCAATTTGAAATAACTTCATGGAACAGTCTACTCAACACTGGGTTTAAATAGGGCAATCAAACAGATAAACAAAGAAATAACTTTGATTGAAAAATGGAAAAAAATAAAAACCCCAACCAGGCAGAAATAAGATAATATTATACTGACATAAAGTCCTAAGAGTATTTCGTGGAATTTGACAAGCTGATCCTAAAATCCATAGATGAGGGCAAAGAACCCTTGTCCTACTAGATACTATGTCATTATAGAATTAAAATAATGATTGTGATAATGTAGTTTTGGGACAGGGAAGAGGCAAATGACAAATATAACATAACAGAGAACAGAAAAATAGAGGAACATAAAACAGGTGGTATCACAAATCAGTGTGAAATAAATGAGCTCTTCAATAAATTGTTCTAGGACAATTAAATATCCACATGAGATAAAATAAAATTAGATACCTTTAAAGTACCATCCACAAATATTAATTCCATTCAGATTAAAGATAACAATGTGAAAAATAAAATTTTAAAACTTTGGGGAAAAAATGCAGGAGAATATTTTTATGACCTCATGACAGAAAAGATATAATAAGCATAAATCCTAGAGAATGATATTGGTAAACCTGATTTCACTAAAATTTAAAATTTCTATGCAATAATAGTTACTATAACCTGTGTTAAAAGAAAACCATAGACTTGGAGACAATATTT